CCCCCCTAATTTTTTTTAAAAAAAGATGATATATAATATATAGAATCAACTTTTCCCGTTACCCCTTCAGTTCGCTAAACGCAGTCTTTTAAAATAGTAAAAATTTCCTTTGTGATATTATTCTGTTGTGTATTTATTCTCCCGTGCCCACCACAGGAAAGTGGAGTAAAAACATTAACCAAAATATGAAATGTTTTGTTTTAAATCATTTATTTTAACTTACAGCTGAGTCAAAATTTCTGTTGTTTGCCCGATCCTTTCACGCATTCATTTGATGCACCCTTGAAAGTGTGTACATAGTGTGTAACCACCCCCCCCCCTCCCCTTTCTCTTACCCTCCCCTTTGTGCTAGTTCACTAACCCTATATCTATAAGCACACCACAAACAGAACAAATTATTCTAAAAATAATGTGGTTTCGTTTGAAATAAATATAGTTTATCTCTTATCACATTCATTAACCAGTTTGTATTCGAAGTACGTTACTCTTTAAGCAACACCTCTAATCTTCGACATTTGTTTGACCTATTTATGTTGCAAGTGCCGTAAAACTTCTATTAAGACAGCAACAAACTCGCCGCCCCTCCAAAAAAGAAGAAACTAAACCAAAGCAAACATTACACAAAAAAACAAAAAAAAAACAAAAAAAAAAACAAGAGGATAAAAAACCCCAAACAAAACAATAACAAATTTGTAGAACAGCAAAAAGTTTGTCTCGGTTTCGTTTGAGTTATTTTGGGCATACGTTAGGAAATTTTAAATGTCATATTCATATGATTATACTCGATAACACCGTCCTGTACCCTGTAAAAGTTTACTGGCAATACAGGAACTAGGCCTTTCGACCCAGATCTCAGTGCACGTGAACCCAGAACAAAGGGCATTAGGGTCGGGGGGATTAGAGAACGAATGACCTGGGACGTAAGAAAGATCTAAATTATAATTAATATAGGACTTAAGATAAACACACAATATCAATAGTTCTAAAGGCATACATACATATGTGCAAGGCACACAGGGAGTGCGATTTCGGTTGCGGTGCATAAGTCCCTTAACAGCCCCCCCCCCTTTCCTCCCGCCCCCATTTCCCGTTCACACCACAAATTAATGTATAAAATTTTTTTAAAGGAAAAATGAAAGTAATGAATAAAGAAATGCATGTAGTACAAGTTAGTTTTTAGTGTAGATGTTTTATATTTGCCCCTATTGACACAATGTACATAATTTAGAAGGCAGGCTTGCGACCCAGACAGTCCGTTACAACCCCGGCTGAAAGTAAGACAGTACTCCAGCAGAAAGACCGAGATACTTAACAAAAGTTTGTCTACACTTAGGAATCGAACTCAGGTCTTCTGCGTGCAACAGTGAAGCACCAAACAGCTGCATTACAGACTCTGGTCAAGAAATACATATAAGTAAACCGTTTTTAAAAGTTGTTTTCTTTTGATATAAGAATCAATACCAACCTTTTAAAGCAGAAAAGAATAAAAGTGAAATAATATACAATCAAATATAGAAAAAGAGAACCATAACAACAACAACAACAACAGGAACAAGAATAACAATGGTAAATTATAATAATGATGATGATGATGATGATGATGATGATGATGATGATGATGATGATGATGAT